ATATAGTTTCATAAAATGCAAATCAAAGTGTTGATTAAAATAAAAAAAAATGGTTTAGAACACGATGGCCTTGTTCGGCTTACCCCATATTCGACTTGTTCGGCTTCTTTTTTCAACCGGAACAGTATTTTTCTCTCACAACAATTCAGCCAGAACAGTGTTTTTCAGCCAGTTTCAGCCAAGCTTCAGACCAGCGAACGGGACCCGGGTGACACAATTAAATGAAGAATAGTATGCGGAGTTTAGCGTCGCAATGTGGATGGAAAAGTAGCTATGCACCGCGAGGATGAGTCCTTGGCATGGAGTAGGCGAGGGTAACAATTGGAGTCAAACTTGTCAGACTTGTGTATGGTTGTCCAATCCACAACACTTTGGTTTATATTTTCATGGAGCCACACATGCTAAACTGGACCTAACATGAATAGCATTACTAACTCACAATTCAGTAACCAACCAACCGATTAGTTTTCTATCCTCACTACTTCTTCTATCCCTGTCGACTCACGCTTAGTGAACTAACTTAACACGAGCAACATTACTAGCTCACGAATAGCAAACAACTTTATGTGGCTTGTTAATTCAAGCTAAATTTCTCAAGCTAAATTTCGCATGTCAGTATCAATGGCTTGTTAATTCACTCACACACACAACGTATACCAGTGATAAAACTTGATGGATTTGAAATGGATAGCCGGCCAAAGTGGCAACCGTCTTTGGTTCATGTTTCTCATGTTGTACCTAATGATGATTTATATGGATCATACATGGACCATCAGTACAGCGCCTAAGGATGCTGTTTTTTTTACAATGCCTTAGCATGCTGTTGTGGTGGGTGATATGTAATGCATTTCGTGGGAACTGCTCATTCACCTCGAATGAAGAAGCAACCAGCCAACCAGCAATCACTATTCACTAGTACATAATCAGTTTTTTTCTGATGCCTGCTCCTTTCTTCACAGGTGGTTCATAAAGTTAAGGCACCAGTAGAAAAATATGTGAATCCAAGGCTAAGAGCCGCTAGAATAGATAAACGTACACTGGCCACCAGTGTAAATCCTATATTTGCACTGGAGGTAAAATAAAGACAACCTGTATTTGAAAATGCTATATATACTGATGCCGGTCTTAAGGAACCACCAGTGTAAATACAATATTTACACAGGTGGTTCATTTAAGACAACACTGCTAGTGTCTAGGATTTATATTGGCGATTTACAAAGTGTGCCATTTGTAAAAAAATATATATACATACCTGATGAGATCCTAACATACAAGTATGTTAAGTCTCGGGTCCAATGATTCCCGAACAAAGAAGACCACCCGACCGGCCCCGGGGCTCGGGGGCTATGTCCATCGGGCACGCTCGTGCACACCCTCTAGCAAAGAGACCCGACTGAGCCTGACTCGACCGCAGCTTCCGCCTGGGGCTCGGGGCCTTCTCCGAGCCTTAGGCTCCCGATCTATGGCACGACCAAGCCCGGTCTTTGGCTCCTGCCCGGCTAACGATGCCAGCCAAGGCCCGAGCACAAGAAGACAAGCCCCAGGCTACCGATGCCTGGGGGCTCTCTGGCGCCGCTCCCTAGGTGTGCCCCTGCCAACTGCTCCTCCGACAGGGTCACGTCCGGGGCGTGACACAAGAAGACAAAGCTTCCCGCGGCATCTAGAGGCTCGAGGGCTTCCGGACCCGCACGTCAGCCCCTGGAGCCGACCTCCTTCACCACCAAGAA